TCTCCTAACGGTAGGGTAGTGATTCGATCGAGCTAGGATGGTGCTCAACATCGATCCTACAACGGAGCTAGGAGTTTTCAGCCCAAGAGAGCTCCCAAACTTGTAAATAGCTAGGTTAGTTAGTTTAATTTTCTTAATCACTACTCTAAGTTGGCTAGATAACAAACCATAAACCTGAAGTAGGGTAAGCCTAGATCCCCGTGGTACGATAAATTATTATTGCTTACTTGCCCTATACTACAACCGATCGGCGGTTATACTTGGGCGTCGATCAGGATGTTGTAGTTGGAATGAGTCAAATTGTCATTTGATTCAAAGCTATGGGGAATCAATACCCAAGTGGGCCTTCTCAGTTAAGAGTCCAATCAATTGCATTCCTTTACCTTAGTTAATCATTTTATTGTTAGGTTGAGTAGTTGTAGTTGGTAGAAGTAATCGAATTTGAAACTCGAATTGGCTAGATAATTATCTGAATTTGAGTACTATTAAACTTAGAAACTCGAGGAATACGACAATTTATAATTTGAAGAAACTATATTACGATCCTATCATTGATTCACTTGTCGTTGTTTGGAGTGTTAGTTTGTAGCTTTCTAAACGCCCAAACTTCATCACACTTTGGCTTACAAATCTTATCCCAATAAACCAGGTGAATCTTGTGTATGTTTGTTGTTGAGCCTCAAATAAAGCTTCATATCCTTTTGTCTATTTGGTCACAAATCGCCATGGGTAAGTAAGTTGCCTGCATGACATACGCAGATAGGAAACAAAACACTGAAACAGTCACTCGACTTGTGAGGGTGAGATTATACATTTTCCAGACTGCAATCTTATTGTCGAGGGCAAGACAAAAAAATTTAATCAGTAGTAATGCATGACATAACATACAAACAAAGTGATGATTATCCACTTTAATTTTTTTATGAATGATTATCCACCACCACTCACCAAACCAAACAAAAAAATGAGCCATCGCCGTAAAAAAATGAGCTATAGTCGTTACCAAATCTAATATGATAAATGAGCTTGTCACAACTCACAATGGAACATTTTTTTACAAAAGATAATTATATATATTGATTCAAACAATAGATCATTACATTCTGGAATTCAACCAGGCTAAAAAATTAAAGAAACGACACATAGTTGGGTACAAAGAAATGGCATTTCTAGCCACCAAATGGGCTACCTTATTACTACTCCGACCTACAAATCGCACATTAAGCCTAGAGTGAACAACCAAAAAGCGCATGACTTCCTCAAGGATGACCCCCATATGATTATTCTGGGTATTTGCCTGATTTATTTTTATCAATGATCACTTTGGCATCGCCTTCCAAGTTCCAACCTTGTCTCCATAAACCCATTCTCTAGACACCAGAGGATTGCCTCTCGGAGAACGAGGAGCTCAACTACCATAGGATCATCAATATCAACAAACTGCACCCCTTTCGCAAAAAGGATCATCCCCCTAGTCCTTGATAATTATGCCCCTTGCTGAGTGAGACCCACTTTTAGTTGCCCCATCCCACATGCAAATCACTGAGCTAAGATTCCCATCTCCAAAATAACTCACTTGTGGGACGGATGATCGAACCACACGGTCAACTGGCAAGCTAATCCACTCCTGATACTGTTGGTGAAATCGCCGCATTAAAGTTGGGATCCCAAATTGTTTTCCCTCAAAGACAATCCAATTATGAGACCTCCAGATCCGCCAAAGGACCGCAACAATTGTCATGAATACTTGAGCTTGATGTATAAGGCCCATCAACTTTTTCAGGAAGAGCAGAAAATTGTGACGAGGCAAACCTTGCCCTAGGTGTTTGAGCCCCAAATGATCCCAGAGAGTCCTTGCCACTAGGAAATCCAGAAACAGATGTTCAATTGTCTCCGATTCTTCCCAACAAACCAGGCACTTGGGATGCACCAGAACTTCCTTCTCAATTAGGGCTTCCGTTATTGGGAGGATTCGGTGGAAAATTTTCTATAAAAATACCTTTAATTTGGGTGGAATATGGGCTTCTCACAAGCAGATCCAGCTTGACCTATCCATCCAACTAGTCGTGGATCGCCATTGACCTACCTGCTTATCTAGCAAGACTGCAAGATGATAAGCCGATTTGACAGTGAAAATCACGCCGCACGTGTCATGTCAGATCAACCTATCCTCAACATACTAAGGAGGAAGAGGGATAGTTTTGATGGTGCGAGAAGTGGTCGGGTCAAACCATTGGCTGAGTTTGATATCACACCACCTGCCCTCACCTTGGCAAATTACCTCCATCACCTTCGGGTCTCCACCCTCTGGAAGCACCTAAGCATTATACAAAGGAGTACGGGGGGTGTAACCGAGGAATTCAACTTGAGGAAAGCATTGAAGCTGTTGGCCCGTTACCAATCTGCCATCTTAGACCCTGCACTAACAACTGTCTACCATAAAGGATGCTCTGCCATCCCCAAGATGGACGAGATCGTGCAGTAGCAATGAGGAAGGTCCCTTTTGGAAAGTATTTCCCCTTGTAAACCTGGGCTAGGAGCGACTGGGGGTCATTTAGGATGCTCCATCCAATTTTGGCCAAGAGCGCCTGATTAAAATGTTCAAAACGGCGAAACGCCATTGCCCCCATCACGCTTACTCCGACACATATTGCGCCAGGACATCCAACGTATCCGGGAATGACCCTCATCAACACTCGAGCAAAATCTAACTACATGTCGAGCTAAGAGGCGACAAAGAGAGAGGAAACTTGAAACAGGACATGACATGTAATGGCATAGCTAAAGCCACTATTTAATCAATGTCTCATTTGCTGCCCAAGAGTTTCTTTTTCTTCCACCCCTTAAGTCGGCTCAACAACTTTTCCTCCAAGAATTGGAAAGTAGCCATTTTATATTGGGTTATTAGTGTGGCTAGCCCTAGATATTTATCCTTGACCCCCACAACCCCAACTCCCAGAATCTAAGCATCGAAATCTTGGTCCAGAAGATAAATATTTTTGCTAAAACACATGCCTATTTGACCAAGTTAACTATTTGGCCACTGAGCTCCTCATACTCATTCAAAATCTCAATCAAGTTCTCACATTCCTGCAAAGAACCTCTGAGGAATAAGTAAGAGTCATCCGCGAAAAACATATGCGAGATTCGTGGAGTTCTGGGGGCAACTTTAACCCCTTCTAGCTTCCCTTCTGAAATGGCCTTCCGGATGAGCGTTGCAAACCCCTCCGTCAAAATAAAAAACAAAATTGAGGATAGTGGGTCTCCCTGCCGGAAACCTCTTGAGGGTGCGAAGAACCTCGAGGGTGTGCATAAGGACCACACATGCCGCTGACCTGAGGCATTCTTGTATCCAGCCCTTCAAGTGGAGTTAAAACCCAATTTGTCCAAAACCGCAAGGAAAAATGGTCATTCGACTCTATCATAGGCCTTTTCCATGTCAACCTCTATAGCCATGTACCCTTTCTTGCCTCGGATTTTGATTTTCAAATAGTGCATTAGCTCATGCCCTAGTAGGACATTCTCCATTATCTTTCCTTCACGGATGAAAGTATTTTGTCCTTCCGAGATGATCTGTGGTAAGAGACGGGCCAGTCTTTCAGACATGATTTTGGTTATAATTTTATACACAAATTGTCATAAGCTTATTGGCCTGATATGCCTCATGTCTTCTACATTGTCCACTTTAGGGATCAGTGTCAACAAGGTGTGATTAAACCGCAGAGAATCCTGCTCGTTCTAAAGAATTCTAAAGAACGAACAAAAATCTTCGACCACAGACGCGCCAACAATATCCTAGAAGGATTTGAAAAATTTCTCAGTGAAGCCATCAGGCATAAGACTGACATAAGCTTATTGGCCTGTTGCTTGCTTCGATCCCATGGAGAGGAATGTTTTACGAACTTCACTGGGAAGGACTTCTACCATAAGACTGACATTCATTTCCGTTGTTACTTTACGAGCTTTGGGTAGATCTGTAACTCGGGCTTCCATGTTCAACACCTAGTTCTCTGATATGGAAAGAGTTTGATAAAAATCAATGGCAATATTGGCCTTTCCACTCTCCTCGGTGACCCACTCTCCACTATCATTTCGAAGCCCGAACACAAAGTTTTGTTTTCTACGCGCCCTCGTAACCGTATGGAAGTACGACATAATCTTGTCGCCCTTCTTAGACCAACGAACCCTTGATTTTTTATGCCAATCAACCTCCTCTGCCTCCCATTGCCTACTCAACTAAGTCACCAAAACCCTCACTGCATCCCAATTAATTGGATGAACCGACTTTATTCGTGCTATCTCAGATTGGAGGGTCTTCATATTTCGAAGAGAACTAGTCGTTCCCACCCTACTCCAATCATAAAGCAAATGTCAGAGTTTTTCAGTCTCTCCCAAAGCTAGTACATAGGAGTCCCTTGGAGTTACTCTTGCCAAACATAAGACACCATAGCTTTGACCTCCGGGTTATCCGCCTATCTAGCATCAAATCTGAAGAGAGGTTGACTACTCCGGGAATATGACTTATCTGATAAGAGTAGAGCCCTGTGATAAGATCCCTGATCCGTGAAATGTTTGACTAAGGTGTCCGGATATCGATCAATCCAAGATTGGGAACAAAAGGCCATATCCAGCATGTCGCAGATACAAGCAGATCACATATGTTTGTATGTCAAAGTGAATTGATCGCCTTGATACCCAGAATCATGGAGTCCTAATAAGAAGGAAATCCGAAAGATGCTACCAACATGATCAATCGAATGAACAAAACGTCCAACCAATATGCCACTTTGAATCACTTGTACAACTTTTACTCCCACATCTTATTTCCTTCATTTTGAATCCCACTTGTCCGACTTGAAACTTGAAACGGACATACGCTTGCTTAATTTTAATTTAATTACCTTTGCTTCAGGATGAAAAAGAGGTTTATTCTCTCTTCAAACAGAAGGGAAAGAAATAAAATGAAGAATAAAGAGTCCGGTGATCCAAAAATAAAATAGAATAATGCTAATAAGCCGCGGGATATCTGTTATTATTGTCCGCTTCGTCGTCGTCTCGCCTTCCCCACTAAAATCGGAAGGTCGTTCGACGAACTGGAGAAGAAAGAAAAGAAGGAAAAAAAAACTGATCCAGCTCTGAGGGGGGAAAATGAGCCACGAGCTACAGATCAGTAAGTACGAGAAGGAAGAAATCGGCAGAGCTCTCATCCGGCCGCCGAAAATGTACGGCAAAGTGATCCTCTCCGTCGTCTTCCTCCTCCTCCTCGCCTTCTCCTACTCCATATTCATCGGATCCCTCGACTTCCGCCCTTACTTCTTCCCTCTCCTCCCGGAACAGAAACAACAGCGGTCCCAGTCTTGCGATTACGAGCCGCTGAAGGTGTACATGTACGACCTCCCGCGGAGGTTCCACGTCGGGATGATGGATCCGGAGGGACCGCAGGGCGAGGAGCCGGTGACGGCGGAGAACATCCCGCAGTGGCCGGAGAACGCCGGGGTGAGGAAGCAGCACAGCGTCGAGTACTGGCTGATGGCTTCGCTCTTGTTCGAAGGGAGAGGGAGGGAGGCGGTGAGGGTTTTGGATCCGGAGGTGGCGGACGCTTTCTACGTCCCGTTCTTCTCGTCGTTGAGCTTCAACACGCACGGCCACAACATGACGGATCCGGCAACGGAGGGTGATCGGAAATTGCAGGTAATCATTGATCCCCCGGGTAATTCGATTCGTCTTTCTCTTGGTTGTTGATAATTGAGCCGGAATTTCGAGTTTCAGATTGAGAGGCTAAGATAAGAATTGTGAATTGTGGTTTGATAGATTAGTGAATTTCCGTTTCTGAAATTTTGGATGGATTTAGAACTATAGAGAATTTGCTTTTGGTGTTGACTCTGTGCTATTGGGGAGCTTACTGTGTGGTGGCAGTCTGCAGAAACAGGGAAAGTATAGATGCACTTAAAAGAAAGAGGGAAGAATTCTTGGGATGTTATTTTCTCCATCAGGGATGTAGAGACTGAAGCTTGCTCCAGATTCAGTTGTCATTTTCTTACTTAGTTAAGGGTATCTACCCGGATCGAAATCAGGCATTGTTTTGATCGTTTGGAAGGAATTTTAGTTGATGGATGGTGCTCTTGTTTCTGATTCATTGTCAGTCCTTAGTTAGTGAAAGGAATCAATATATCAGGATCAAGGACTACTTCCTTTGATTGTGACAGTGAATTGTTGGTGATGGATGGTTCTTGTTTCCTCATTTTCAACGTGAGTTTAATTGTTTCACTATCTGAAGCTTCAAAACCTTTCATGACTGTGGTAATTTGTTACCGTGTTTGTTGTCTTAATTCTTAATCCAGTTTTGCTTTATCTTACTATCTTTAGATCTTTGTGGTGCTAGGTTGAAATAATGGACATGCTGCACAAATCTAAATACTGGCAGAGATCTGCCGGAAGAGACCATGTCATTCCCATGACACATCCAAATGCCTTCAGATTTCTCCGTCAAGAGTTGAATGCATCAATTCTCATTGTTGTTGACTTCGGGCGCTACCCGAGATCCCTCTCGACTCTTAGTAAAGATATCGTTGCTCCTTATGTCCATGTTGTTGATAGTTACACAAATGACACTGCTAAAGATCCTTACGAGTCTCGCAAAACTCTTCTTTTCTTCCGTGGGAGCACAGTCAGAAAAGATGTATGCTTATCCTAGTTCCGGTTGCTCTGTCTATCCACTATTTTCTGGGAGTTGAGTTTTTATTGGTGTCATTATGTTGTGCAGGAAGGCAAAGTGCGTGCTAAATTGGAGAAGATATTGCTTGGTCAGGAGCATATTAGATATGAGCGAGGAAGGCCCACTACTCATGCAATACAGGCGGTAAGTCCCGATATATAAAAATTGAACTTTGTAGGTATTGTTCTGAATATACTTGTATGCTACATTCAAAAGTATCTTGTGTTTGGTGCTTCGAATATCTAGTTTATATATCTTGTCTCCAACATGAGTAACATGCTATCATTTTAACCCACTCACCTTTCTTTCTACTTTCTGATGCATGTAGTCAACAGAAGGGATGCGGTCATCCAAGTTTTGCTTGCATCCGGCAGGCGACACACCATCATCTTGCCGGCTATTTGATGCCATTGTCAGCCACTGTGTACCCGTCGTTGTCAGCGACAAAATCGAGCTTCCATACGAGGATGAAATTGACTACACCAAGTTCTCTTTGTTCTTCTCCGACACAGAAGCTCTGCAGCCCGGTTTCTTGATCAACAAGCTTAGTGAATTCCCGAAGGAGAAGTGGTTAGAAATGTGGAGGAACCTCAAGAACATCTCTCATCACTTTGAGTTCCAGTTCCCTCCGGCTAAAGGAGATGCAGTGGACATGCTTTGGAGACAGCTGAGGCGGAAGCTTCCAGGTGTCCAGCTGGCTACACATAGAAGGCATCGACTTAGAGTTCCTGATTGGTGGCGACGACGATGACGATGATGCAGAATACTGTACTGTAAATTCTTGTTCATTAGCCAAACATGTCACACAATCAGTTGTTCGAGGCAGGTCGTTAACTCCTCAGCATTGTCGCTCGCGGTGGGAAAGAGGATGCTGCTTTCTCGTGACTTGGTGACAATCTGGTGAAATCAGGTTAATGCATGGCCTTCTTTCTGCTCATTAGGATTGGAAGTTCGTGTTTCGTGGTCGTGGAGCATGAGATGATGAAGCGAACTGTACCACACATCACATCACAGAATTGTAGTTTGTTGCTTTGAGATCTACTGTAACTGTTTCTGCTAACCTTACGGAATTATTTTGAGAGATGACCCTATAGTGCAAAGTTCATTAGAGGTACATTCAGTTCAATGATAGCAAAATGTTATGTTAATTCAGTGTTTGAGTGAATTTGAGACTGATTGTAGACTGTAGTTGCAGAATACGCTGATTTTAAGAACTCTCTTTTTACTTTGAAAGATTCTACGCTTAGCCTGTTTCCCCAGCAGCCTATCAGCATTTAGTAGAGATGAGATTTAGGGCTCTGCTGAAATTGGACCTTTTCAGTCGTGGGAACTGGCTTAGTAGGCCCGAATTTCAGATTCGGTGGGCCTTCTGCCTTAAGAACGGAATCAAGTCATAAATTAGCAGTAGCAAATATAAAGGGTAACCCTAGTTAAGTTAATAAATCGGCTTATTGATAAGAGTGTAATTGCAGTAATAAATGGATTATATGCCATAAACTAGGAAAATGATCAAAATATTCCCTTTTTTGGTAGACTTACTTCGTAATTAAGTTGTTTAATTCTTTCTAATTAATCAATTTAGACGAAAAAAGGGTAAAACAAAAGCTTGATAATAATTACTATTAACCAGTGAAATTCAGACCTAAATAAACAGATTCTGGAATAACAATATCCTTCCTGGGCGTCGGAATCCACCTACAGAAGCCCGCAGTCCACTCTCCACCGTTGATAAACCCATCAAACTCCATCCGATCCTGCCACGTGTTACTTCGCAGCCCAAGTATAATAAACAACGATAAAGACCAAAACGCAAAACCAATAGTTAGGGTTTTTCAAACGCGCCAAAGCCAATCCTCAAACCCTCTGCAAAAAAGAGAAAATGAGTGACACAACGACGACGCCGCCGGTGGCGGAGCTGGCTAGCACTACCTTGACCGACAACGAGGCGACCGGGCTAGCCCTGAAGCATCCGTTTTCCGATCGGGTCCCGATCCGATCCATCGTCTCTCGCCCCGACGGCGGAGCTGGGCTCGCCGGGCAGCGAATCCGCGTCGGCGGATGGGTCAAGACAGGGAGGGAGCAAGGGAAGGGCGCATTCGCCTTCTTAGAAGTCAACGACGGGTCTTGCCCTGCGAATCTGCAAGTTATGGTGAACCGTGACATTGCAGAGGTCGGCCTCGGGTCGTTGGTGTCGACTGGGACCTCCGTCTCGGTTGAAGGATTGCTGAAGGTTCCGCCTGTGGGTACCAAGCAGAAGATTGAGCTCCACGTCGAGAAGGTCCTCCACATCGGGCCGGTTGATCCGGCGAAGTACCCGATTCCGAAGACCAAGCTCACTCTGGAGTTCTTGAGGGATCATATCCACTTCCGTCCCAGAACTAACACGGTATAAAGAAAGATCGATCCTTTTCTGAATCGTTTTGCTTCCGAATTTAAGATTCGTAGACTTGACATAGTTTGATGATGATGTTTTGGCCTCAGATTTCTGCAATTGCTCGAATTCGTAATGCACTTGCTTTTGCTACGCACTCCTTCTTTCAAGAGAATGGTTTCCTGTATGTTCATACCCCGATTATTACCACTAGTGATTGCGAGGGCGCGGGTGAAATGTTCCAAGTTACGACGATAATCAGCGAAGCGGAGAAGGCAGAGAAGGATCTGATTAAGAACCCTCCACCATCAGAGGCTGATGTGGAGGCAGCTAAGCTTGTTGTACAGCAGAAAGGAAAGGCAGTGGCTGAGCTCAAGGCTGAGAAATCTGACAAGGCTACGATTGGGGCTGCAGTTGCTGAACTGAATAAAGGGAAGGAGAATTTGTCTAAGTTGGAAGAGAGAGCCAAACTTAAACCCGGTATCCCACGGAAGGATGGGAAGATTGACTATGCTGCTGATTTCTTTGGACGTCAGGCTTTCTTGACCGTCTCTGGTCAGCTGCAAGTTGAAACTTATGCATGTGCTGTCGGCAATGTGTACACTTTTGGACCGACTTTTAGAGCCGAACACTCTCATACCTCAAGGCATTTGGCTGAGTTTTGGATGGTGGAGCCTGAGATAGCTTTTGCAGATCTTCAGGTATGTATACTATATACGTAGTTCAATCTTAGCGTTTTGGAGTTCCTTCGGTTATCAGTAGGGCAAAGCTGAACATAATGGAGTATTAAGCTGTAGTGATTCTGCCACGAACTTGATGTGCTGCTATTATGAGATAAAGCATGATTTGTGTCTCAAAATGTTTGCAGGATGATATGAACTGTGCAGAGGCGTATGTAAAGTATATGTCCCAGTGGTTACTGGACAAGTGCTTTGATGATATGGAGCTCATGGCTAAGCTTTATGACAAAGGCTGCATTGCCCGTCTAAGAATGGTCGCATCTACTCCTTTCGAACGAATTTCATACACAGAAGCTGTTGAAATCCTTGTGGAGGCTGTGAAGGGTGGTCAGAAGTTTGATAACCAAGTTGAATGGGGCATTGATCTGGCATCTGAACACGAGAGGTATTATCATGCAAAAACTTTTACATCTTTAGCTTTGTTCATAAATAAATAAAAACTAAATCGGTGTTCTTTCTGGTACCGATTATATGATTTTTGTCATCCTTGACACAGGTTCTTGACAGAGGTCAAGTTCCAAAAGCCAGTCATAGTTTACAATTACCCTAAAGGAATCAAAGCCTTCTACATGAGGCTCAACGACGATTCAAAGACAGTGGCTGCAATGGATGTCCTTGTACCAAAGGTAAATAGTACTTCGTCCTTCTGTTCACACCTCTGAATTTACATTACCAAGTTTCAGCTGCTTTCCTATCAGTGTCCTAAAAGCTTTGCTTTGTCAATACTAGGTTGGAGAGTTGATCGGTGGAAGTCAAAGGGAGGAGCGATATGAAGTAATTAAAGAAAGGTATGCGAGTGCATGTTAGCTTGTTTGGGTTTCAATAATCAACATCGATCTAATGAGTGCTACTTGATGACAGAATTTTGGATATGGGGCTGCCCCTGGAACCATACGAGTGGTACCTTGACCTTCGTCGCTTTGGGACCATAAAGCACAGTGGGTTTGGGTTAGGGTTTGAACGGATGATTCTGTTTGCGACCGGCATTGACAACATTAGAGATGTTATTCCATTCCCAAGATACCCAGGAAGAGCAGACCTGTGAAGTAAATTTTTAGTTTAGAAAGAAACAGATGAACCCATGTGTTTATTATTGACAACGGCAGAGATGTTATTCCCTTCCCTTTCCTGCCCTTTTTCTGAATCTAGAATTTATGCTTCTGTATGGAACTATGAATTGTCTACTTATTTGAGAGATTCCCAGTTTTGATGCCCGTTGTCTGAATGGATCTGATTGACCTATGTTGGCTTTGGGTGGGAAATGTTCTTTTTGTTTGGTTTGATCACTTGCAGATCTTGGTTCTTGGCACAAGAGGTTATGTCTGTTCGGTTTAGGTCGTTATTCGGCTGGAAGTTCCTAGTTGATCTTGATGTGTCGTCATTAGCTGACTATCTTGAATTCATGATTAAGATACTGTAATGTGTGTCATATACTTGTATTGTAGAAAGTGAAGAAGCTCATATCGTTTGTTGATGGTTATTATGACTTGAAGAGCTGCTTTACTAATCAGTAATTACTATAAGTCAGTGGCCCAAGCCCGTAGGAACACTTTCAGCTGCAGGAACGGAAGTACTAATAAGTAATAAGTAGTGGGGTGAACGGTGCGGTCCGGACAGAACCAATCTTATGAGAACTATGGTCATTTTTTTTTTTTTTACAATAACTATGTCCATTATTGAAAGATATTTTAAGATTAAAAATCTGACTATCATGGCATTCGGTATAATCCAAATATCAGTTTAATTCATTATTTTTTAAGTAATTGTAAAATTTATGGAGACCAAAGACTGGACCTCATTATACTCAGTGCGGTCCAGTCCAAACTTCAATTTGATCCGATATTTTTACCAGACTAGTGCATACTCCCACTAATGAGTAATAAAGTCAGTGGCCCAAGCCTGTATGATAATATAATACAAGGAGAAAATGGACATCATAGAAATCCCTCTCTATTCAAATTACAAAACAAATAGAACAACTCTAAATTAGATACAGTAATGACTTTTCTTGTCACATTATGCGTTGTTCAATTGGCAATCCTAAGAATCGCACCGATGCCCCCATTGCATCCGACTCCTCCCCCATTTCCTCGAGAAATTAGCGAATGACAATTATGAAATCACTTTCAACTATAATTTGGTATGACTGATATAAATGAATCAATAACATACGGTCTGTATCAACTAGTAGTCCTTCCAAGTTGTATTTGGTAATCCTCCCCAATGCTAAACACCGATAGCCAGAGGCGGATGATAACTTCACCACCAAGCAATTAGCGAAGAAAGGGGGCAGGTTTGGTTTCCCATCTATCCTCTGCCCATTTGGTAGGCTTGGCCGTTGGAGATCGAAGTGAGACCACCGTAAGCAAGTTAAGTTTGTCCGTCCGTCCCTGCTTCTGATTGGTTATGGCCGACGGCAAATCTGCCACAAGCCCTATTTAATTGTCCAGGTAATTAATTACGTAAGGGGAGTTGAACTTTAATGTCATTCCTTGAAAGTTAGTCGTCGGCCGTCTCGTCATTTCCCTCCCTCGCTGCTTACTCAACCAGGTCGTCGTGTTGTATGGTGACGGAGAAAAGGGAAACCATATATACAATTACAATTTCAGTACAACGCATACATAGGATTCATCACTCGAGAAAGACGACACTGGAAGAGTACGTAATGGGGAAGAAAGGAGTCGAGAAGGCATTATCGAATTGATCACTTTTCAATTTTTTATATTTTCCCATTCTATATGATTACGTATTCCAAGTGGTACTAGCTGAACTTATTGATGGGGTTTAATTAATTAGAAGAAATACATCTGCAGGAAGAAAGGGCTTTTTTTTTTCTGAAAATATTTTTAGTGATAAACATAATTTTTTTTAATAATCCCAGTAATCAAGCTCTCAATTTACGATGCGGGGTTAAGTAGAAAAGGTGGGGCAGGGGGAGGGAGCAACAATTCGACGATGGAAGGCAATGTCTATGCCATCCTCTATTAAGGTCCTTACTAGCTCAGAGGATGGACAAGTAAACTCTGTACAAATTGTAGAAATAAATAAGACTGTGATTCGAAAGTTCAACGAAATCATATTTCGAGTTTTAATATTTAGTTCAAACGGATTTACAAGTACTTACCTCGTGTTCAATGCTCGAGTCGTTTAAGTAAAAGCTAGTGATTTGACCCATTATGATGAGGACATATGTCATTCATTCAACATCAAAGATTGATAATGAGTAAATATTGTATAGGACGCAAACATCACGCCAAGTTTTACATTGCATCACTACTAA